TAAAAGCGCAGGGCTATGAACTGCACCGAATGGTCTTCGAATATGTCTATTTCAGTTCAAAAACCTCATACAAATATGAAATACACTTTACAACATTTGACAAACTCAGCAGGCACTTAGACTATCATGGTATATGTGGAGCTGGTAGACCCTGAGAGATATTGCACTCCACTTATATCGCAAGTCGCATCTTAAGAAAGTCTTTTGGAAGGATTTCATACAGCTGCTTATCCATTATAACGCTGCGTACAAACCAAACCTTGAGAGTAAGGAAAAGTAACTATGTAGATCTCTTAGTACACAAAGCTCAAAACATGTGCTTTACCATTGGATAATTGCGGTCTGTGGTTTATTGAATGTCTTTTTAATGCAGAAAATGCCGGCATGGTTACACGGGAAGGAATATAACGACAGTATCGTATTGCAAGGACATCCATGTGCTGTGACGCTTTCAGACGTCGCTTACCTTGGAAGACAGAAAATGCAGCCCGTGAGATCCCCTCCGAAAGGCGAGATATTCCATTTAGATTAAAGTTATTTTTTGCATCAGCCGGATTTTGCTAGCTACTGTTACTCGCTACTTCTTGGGGTGTTGCAGACAAAATTAATAACACATGTAAGAGAACGAAAGGCAATGGGTCCACAATACTGACTTTTGTGGATGGCGCCTACTGCAAGTGAAAGAATTAACAAAAGATGTGTATCTACGATCTTCCATTACAAAGTTATTAAATTATCCAGGTAGTCTCACAAAGTTGTGAGAAGGATAATAACGACTCATATAATTATATTTACTGTACATATTTTTAACACCAGTGACTGCACCCTTTGTGAAGGCGACGACGAAATATCTCATCTCAACGACAATACCTGTTTTGGTATTGTCCTGCCGTGCAAGTCTTTTTTCAGACAAAAATAAAGACATTAACTCAGTATCAAGTAGTATTCCGGTTAGATGTACAGTCACAGGTTTCTACACAACACAAAGCCGATTCAGGTCTTGCTCAGTGCCACAGAATAAGCGGTGATTTACAAAGCTCGCAATAAAGGTAAAACACCTGGAGTTCCTCAAGTGATTGATATATTGAGAACATAAATACGAACACGCGATTCACCCACCGATTACAATTTTTTACATGGAAAGCAGTGAGAGATATTCTGATGTAGACATAATACAACTCTCGGCGGCGTCTCGAGTGTGCATTAGCGGGTCTCTTTGACGTCACAATACATTTGACAGCGTCTCGAATCGGTGGCAAACTCCTGGCCATGTTCCGTTGATCTCGAATGTGTTACCGTGAATTTTTCAAATGTGTGCAAGATAGGGCGCTCTAAACACGCCCTCGGGTGTAGGTCAAATTTACCCAACACCGAACGTTTTTCCGGAATGGTTTGCGAACGGCGCGGCGCAGCCGCGCCATATTTTGCATGGCTGTAGACAGTGACATAGCAGATCGTTCGGTATTATAAATTTAGGTGAACCTTGTAAGGTCGCTGATCTACGGCAAGTCCAAGACAGCCCATGGATCCTGCAAGGGGAATTTCTAGGGAATCGTTCAATCTGATCCAACGACGGAGAGTTAGACGAAGCCATACATCTTGAAATGCTTTCTTAGGCAACACTGATTGAAGGAACAATTTCCGTTGACCTCAGGCCAGTTTTAAAGGTAGGACTTGCTGCATTTGGTAGTTTCTGGTGCTCACTTCGAAGTTATTGATAACAGATAATGTATAACCACATTATACATCTTCCATGGACTTCCCAAAAGTCATGATAGGACAATGGCCTAAGATGACCTAGGTCAACATCTCGTTTTTAGGAATATACTGCCTAGCGTTATTTTTGTGACTTATTAAGATGCAAAACTCAAAGCAGTCTTGTATGATTTTGATCACCATGACCTTTGAAAGGTCAAAAAGGTCACTGACCTTAAATGAGCATGTAACCTTTTGCTTGGGACAGACATCTAGGTTCTGGGGCACTTTAGAGACCAGGCTTGAGATTGACCTTATTTGACCCTATTTGACCCAAAAGTCATAATCTAGGAACCCCAAACTTTGACCAAGGTGAGTTCAGGTACAGGCCAAAACACCCTGTAAATTTGGTATCTATCTCTCTGAGTTCCCGAGATTTTAGTGGGGGCAAATATACCCCCACCCGAGCGAAGGGTGTCCAACCGGCGACCCGGGCGCGTGTTAATACGAAGGCGCCTGTAAGGAAATAAAATATCATTTCACATCTTCAATGCAGCTGTGACAATAAATAAATGAAACAGCGTGTGCTAGTATTTATTTATAAAAACACTGCTACTCATCAGGGATGTGCAGATAACCAATGTGAGAGTACCGATAGTGTAGTGGCTAGGTGGTGGCACGGCGGGAATACCCGGCCGCCACCGGGCCGAACCCCGCGAGGAACCGCTCGCATGTGAGTGCTGAGGGCACACAGGCTGACTTGCCGGTCCGGCCCCGGCCGGTTTGGACCTGACCCTGAGACCGGCGACCGGCGCCCGCTGCCAGGCGGGGCCGGTCCCTCCAAAAGGCCGGCGCACTGATAATTTCAACTAAGTGGTGGTGACTAAGTTTTTTACAGGCGCCTTCGCATTTAGAGTGCGTTATCTTGCACATATCTGAAAATTAGATGGAACATATTTGTGACCGCCGGAGCATAACCATGAATTTGCCGCCGATTCGAGACGCTGTCGAATGTATTATGACGTCAGACAGAAACCTGACACTGCACACTCGAGACGCCGCCTAGAGTTGCATTATGTCTACATCAGAATCTCTCTCACTGTTTTTCATGTCAAGACCGTCGCGAAGACCGGCCACCCGACCTGCCCCTGGCCCCAGGTGGGCTCACCGGTCATTAGAAGCACGCCGCCCAGGCGTCGGAGCGGGCTCAGATCTCGCTGTTTCGATCTCTCCTGCTCGCTCCTCATGACTGGGAACCGCGCCGCGCTGCATTTAAGTGCTTGTCGACGAGGTCCATGGTTCGGACCCTGCTGGGGAGGGGACACTGTGTATTGGAAGCCCGCGAGAGCCCTGTTCGTGGCATGGTGATTCGTGAGCAGCTGTCTTAGTTTTCGACGCACAGGCTCCCCGACCATTGAATTGGAATCCCCCCCCCCCCCCCCCGTTGTACTGCTGCTGAATCGCCCCTCCCCCCCCCTCACCCTCTGTGCCACAGAAGACAACCCGCGCGCTCAAAGTGCTGCCGCGAAGCCACCGGGCGCGAGTCCGCGGGAGCCAGTGCCCTGACTCACGAGGGGCTGGCCTAGCACTTCCTCGGTGCGAGCTAGGGCAGCTGGAACATCAGCTCCACAGTTGCAGCAGCAGGCGGACACCACACCCGACGGCTTCCCTCGGGCCTGTCGCCCAACTTGCTTGGCTCCTGGCCAGTGCTGTACGAGGGCGGCGCCTGACAAGCCGGCTACCCGCGTGGGGGGTCGACAAGAGGCACCCACATGTTGGCAAATCCGGTCCGAGATTGTTGGTTGCTGTAGGTGGTAGCCGAGACTGACCCGTAAGGCGGCCACCTCAGCACTCAGGACCCCTTTATCGCTCCTGTGGAGCCCACGGAGCCCGGCAACCCTAATGAAACTAAAAGCTTGGGCCGAAGGGTCGCTGATCGCTACTCTGATCGAAGTCAGAGATTGCGGGGGGGGGGGGGGGTACGTTTAGCCTGCATGCTCCCCTCTGGACGGAAGGGGCGCTTTGCAAGCCTCTCCATCCCCCGGCGGGACCATTGGAGCACTCGATACCTCGCCCCACGCCCCACCCACCCACCACGGAAAGTACCGCCTCACCCAGTCTTCGACCACTGCGGTTTACACGGGCCTCATTTGGACACCTCGGCTGGCAGGTGACCGCGTTAGTGATCCATGTCGTGCACCGACCAATCATTATCGACTACCCCGTGACATATGTTTCGCGGCAGAAGCAACCTTCACTGACCCTCGGAACTGTTTTCATTTCACGCAAAACTCTCACGAAAGGTTATTGGAGGTCAGCATACACATTTCATGTACCATGAATATATAAGAAGGATTCTTGGTGCTTAAAATGCTTGTACAACACATCATTGCGCCAAATTTATATATGACGTGCTGGCTGGGAACGGATCAGTCAGCGGCGGCAGTTGATGGCGGTTCTCGCTACGTTGAGTGCCAGTAATCCTACAAGTTTGACGGGCATGGTTTGGGTGCTGGTCTTTCGGAGATAATTTATGTCTGTTAGATACACTATCGCGTACTAATGAGAAGCTTATGCAGCCGTAATCCAGGCCCCAGTCCCAATCCCAGGGATTGAGATTCGGGGAAGATGGTGAGCCGACGTCAGCCGTGCCTGCGGGATGGCGCATGAAAAGCATTGATCTCCTTGTGACTCATCACACCAGGGATTCTAGCCCCGCTGGAAATCTGGAAGATTTCATCCGGTATTCATGAAGACAGAGGAAACATTCCTTAAATCTGCTTTTTATTACAACGCACTAGTTCTGGTATTTGATATGCCTGTACCACGCGGGCGCACACTGGTGTGTGCCCATTGTGCACCACAGTAAGAACTGGAAGTGCGACCTCCCATAGTGACCGTATTAGAAGAAATAGGCTCAAACGACGGTGTCCGTGGCGCCGAGCACACTCGAGTCGTGGCGACCTTGGCCCGGTGACAGTGGCGACGGCGCGGCGGAGGACCTGCCGGCTGCAGGAGCCCCCGACGGCACCCGGCATGTCGCTCTTCCAATTAGGGCGCCAGTTAAAGACCGCTGGGTCCACCTCGCCGTGTACGTGCAACGGTACACCCTCTGACAGGGCGACGCCGGCTCGGCGCAGCCTCTGGACGCGGCCGGCCGGCCGGCGCGCCGTGAGAGCTCGCGGAGCGGCGCGACGCCCGCCGCAGAGCGCGAGGCGGTGACGCGGGCTGGCGGCCGCCGGGCGGAGCGCGGCGCGCGGGCACGGCGCGGGCACGGCCGACAGACGTAGCGGCGATGTCGGCGCCGGTGGATGGGGCCGGGCGGCGCGGCTCCGACCAGCTGCAGCCGCACGCGGTGGAAGTGTACGTGACGGATGAGGGCAGCGGCGACGGCCGCCGCGGCCACCCGCGGCCCGGCGGCAAGCGCAACCCCTGGTGGACCGTGCTGAGCCTGGGCAGTGTGTCAGGTGAGTTGGTCGGCGGGGACGTCCGCCCCATCTGAGCCCCACCGCAGCCCGCCCATTAGACCCGTGGACCGTGCCGAACCTGGGCAGTGTGTCAGGTGAGTTGGTCGGCGGTGACGTCCGCCCCACCCGAGGCCCACCGCAGCTCGACCGCACGAGCTGACTGCTGCGGTGGGACGTGACTCCCACGGCCGTTCTGCCGATGGTCTACGCGGTGCGTGGTTGGCCTTTCCCGAGAAGGGACCACCGACACTGAGGTTTCGGTGACACTTACAAATGGGTGCTATGATGTCTCGTCCCCGCCCCCGCTGCTTGGAGCTTTCTCCGACATAGATCGTATTCTTTCTTGGTGTCGACACGCGCATAACGCATAACGTATGCGGTACTCTCGCGACTGGCGTCTCAGCCCGCAAGGAAGACAAATGAATGATGGTTTAGGAAAACGCATTAGACTGACTAGGCCCGTGCGCCCTGTACACACAGTCGCCGCGTCGCTCACTGGTGTTATCGCACGACTCTCGATCACGTTTCTTGCTTCTCGTCGCCTGTTCCGCACATGTTTTTGCTGTTTCGGTTTAAATGTCGTAGCTACGCCACCTTCTCAAACTGGATGGGCCAAACAAGCTGCTGGCGTAAATTGGCAGGCCATTGAGAATTCGAAGGAACAAATGAGTCGGGCAATACACAACTCAACCGTGGATGAAATGCGATCTGTTTGACCTTTTAGGTGGCAGGACGCTGTTCACTCACCACAGGTTCTCGCCTCCGAAAGGTCGTTCATCACGAGCGTTCATGCCGTGCATTCACATGTTCGGAAAAATAATTGAAGTCGTTTGTACAACTAAAGCGCTCGTTCGTTAACACCAACATGATTTAATCAGTCATCGTTTCGTAATGCTAGAGCGCAGAGCGGCGGCTTTGGATGAGACTGTCACATCTAGAGTGAGGCCCCTTTAATTTTTTTCCTTCCCGCTGTGAGTTTTCTTTGCTTAATGCATGGAAGTGTTCGCAAGAATCTCTTTTTTTTCTCGAGTGTATGTAGATATGTGCAGTGTTTATTGAGCTTGAGCTGAGATGTTTTCGTCGTTGTTACCATTAATAGGCATGAGCTCTAAGCATTTTATTTCATGCTTTTAGCAGGCCAAATAATAAAAATTTGAGCAAGAATGACACTGGATTGCACTCTTTCAGCATGGCAAACGGGCAAAATAGTTATTGATAGCGCATAAGCCATACTTGATATGGGTGCTATGCGTCACCATAACAATTCAAAGTAGACGTAGAATTTGCTTGCCGTTAGTTTATTGACTCCTTAATCGTGCGTCGCTGCTCATCTTTGGTTATTCGATTTCGAAGCTGAGCCGACTCGAAAATTTTGACCAGTAATTTGACACGGAAGTCAACTGCTCCCTGACCACTTTACTACAGGCTTCTCTCCCAGCACCACAATAAGCGGGTTGAGGACGCCTCCACAACTTCTAGGGACCTCAGTCGCGCTGCTGCGCAGTCGCCTGCCGCTGGCGCGCCCCACCGACCCGAAGGTCGCAGGCAGCGGATATCCGCCGGTTGGTGGGGGGGGGGGGGGGGGGGGCGTCGCTTCTGATAACGAAGCCTGTCCCGCTGTTGAGGCATGGGCCTCAACCCGTCTCAGCTCGAGGGCTAGCGGCTGGCCCTGTGACCCTCCAAACCAGACGGTACCGTCCCCGCTCCAGGTTGGCGGCTGACCTGCGACCCTCCAAGCCAGGCGTCCCATCCCGCTCGGGGCTGGTGGCCTACCCTGTTGATCCTCCAAGCCAGGACGTCCCGTCCCTGCTGCACGTTGGCGGCTGGCCCTGCGATCCTCCAAGCCAGGCGTCCCATCCCCGCTCGGGGCTGGCGGCCTACCCTGTTGACCCTCCAAACCAGGCGATCCGTCCCCAGCTCGGGGCTAGCGGCTGGCTCTCTGACCCTCCAAACCAGGCGTCCCGTCCACGCTGCACGTTAGCGGCTGGCCCTGCGACCCTCCAAACTGGGGGGTCCCGTCCCCGCTCCACGTTAGCGACTGGCCCCTGCGACCCTCCAAACTGGGGGTCCCGTCGCTGCTGCCACGTTGGCGGCTGGCCTCATAGGGGAACCGTTATTAGCATGGCTGATTCATATTGCCATGAATAAGGCCTGCATTGATAACGCTGATTTACCGTTGCAATAATTGCGCGCAGTGTAGTCTTTGTAAATAGGTGGTATTTCTTCGCGAAATTTTATTTGCTCCCTCCCACTTGTTTCCCTTCCTTTGTTTTTAACAACGAGTTCGAGAGGTACGTTCTGTGTATTCTATGCGTTAAGCTATACATTGTTCCATACATTGCCTCCATATAATTCTCAGGGGGTCCGATTGATTTTTTTACTGTGCTCTATGGATTGACATTTCCCTGACTTTCCGAGAGCACGGAGATGCTTCTGCTTGCGTCTCACAAATTCATCGCGATTCCTTTGCGAAAGCTCCCATGCTTTAATCTCTAATCGTTTTGTAACTTGCGCGCGCAGTTTCAGAGGACTGCAATAAGCCATGTGATTATTTTGATTATAAGTTGCAAAAAACGACCTACTTATAAGGCTCTAATTTTCGTTTCATCTCTCTCAAGCATTCCTCATAAACCGCGGTTTCGGTTGTCGACTTTGTTCATATCTCCGAGCCGGGATGTGTGTCAAACTGAGCGTCCTGTCCGTCGTTAAACAAATGGACATTAAGTTTGACGGCTGCCTCCCAGCGGGATGGCGCGCCGCCGGCGGGCCTGGCGCCACAGGGATCGGGCGACGAGGTGGTGACGCGGCGCCACGTGTCTCAACGCAGCACTGGGTCAGCGCCGAGTCCGCACTGCACCGAGGCCACTGGAAGAGTTACGTCACCGAGCCCAGACGCGGGACTGCCGACGGCTTTGTGCCGGGCTCGGGTCGTGGCGGTCCCCCGCTGGGCTGGAGGTCACGTCACCCCCATAAACTACCAATCAGATCCACTCGGACCTTCTACATACACGACGTGCAATTATGTCGCAACACGTGCCATTTCGGGATAATTTAGACTAATTTCGCGTAACGGCGGCGTAATCGTTGCAGATGCTATCGATGGTCAGACAGCTGGACATTGTCGCGTGACACATTGCCCTGGCCCGATCCGTGGCCTTGCCGGATGACCGGACACTTGATGACGTGCAGGTGATCTACTCAGGTCACCTACGTCACGCCATTACGAGTCCACCCGCCCCCAGCCTACCGTGCTGGAGGTCTGCGGCGTCGAGTGTCGACACCAGGTCAAGCCGCCCCACCTGGCTGCAGCCTCGTGTGCTCCTCCAATGCGCGGCGGGGGGCGCATCTCGCTCTGCCGGCACCAGTAGCGCCGCAGCCCTTGTCTCGTGTCGCGCTGGACGGAAGAACGAAGTCATATGCGCTCGTATGCCACATGTTTTGACGCCTTGCGATGAAATCTGGGTGGGCCACGTGATTTTCTGCGTGTTCATGAAGTGACAGGTGCTTATTTGTCCGGGGCAACGTCAAACGTTTGGAAAACAATTTTTCTCGGGTGAGATATTGGAGATGAATCGGGCGAAGGTAAAGTCGGGAAATCTGGACATTAATCCAGACCATTTATTCACATTTGAATTGGACTTGGTCAACATTTGCGGATTTTTGTGTAATGTGAATGTGGTCCTGCAATGTGCCTATTTTGTATTTTGTGCCTTGATATTTACCGCAGGGGATAATAGTATACTGATGCACCTGGATGTGGTGTGGTTATGTTTTGATGCTTGCTTTTTGCCAATGTACACGTTTAGGTCCCACCACAGAATGTTTTTTACATAACCTGTTACTAAAAGTTTGGAGACACGCATTTAATGTTTCACTGACGAAGATTCCCGGTGGTGCCTTGATATCAACGTCGGCGTGGGTTGGGCCGGCGCGGCGGCCCTGCAGGCGGCGGAGCGTGTGACGCATGCATTAGGAGGTCACGCTCAGCTGGGGTTTAGCTAGGCTGTGTGGCCGCGCAAACAGTTTCGTGGCGCAACAATGAGGTAATTTTGTGCGTGGCGGTAATTTACTTCGGGCACAAACATGGTGCGGAAGTAGTTACATGACATTTATTTGTACGCAAATCTTGGTAGGAGCCTAGTTCTTTCGTCTAGCAAGGCCTCCTCGTAAAATCTTCTAGCAGTACTTGTCTGACATGTTTGCATACGAATTTCTTTTGCTGGCATTTTTTTTGTACCGGCATTTTGTTGTGCATAGCATGATTTGCACCGCGTGTGGTCGCATAGGAGATTCTTCGCATTGCTTTTTTTCCATACCGCGATTCCGTCCGCCGTTACGCCTTTTCGTACCTGGGATCATTCGTGTCGCATTATATTCGTATACCCGATTTTTGTCGCATCGCTTATCTTCATACACGCTGTTCTCCGCATCACATCTCATCGTATTGCATTCCTTTGTCAACAACTCTCTGATTCGTGTGCGTTGGCGGGTGTAATCCTTCGCGAGAACTATCTGACATTATCAGTGTAAACGTTGGCATTTCTTTATTCTCTCCGTTGTTTGGCTCTTCATTCCTCATAATGCTGCTCTCCATTTGTCTCTGAGCTATAAAACGTGCATGTAGAAGGGTCCCATCACCGACCGTGTATGCGATGATGCTCAGTCTTAGTACAGGACCTTCTAGCTCCATACGATGGAAACGCATGAGGCTGGTGTTTGGCGCGGCTCTGTGCTGATTCCCATGCCTCTATCCCTTAGCGCCGGTGGTAAACATGAAATAATGGTTTCCAATCCTGTAAGACAGTCCAAAAATGACGTTAGCTATTCTGCATAGGTCAAGACAGGTGCCTCGGGACCATAGACATGTTATCTTTAATCTAGATACTATTTCAAAATACTGTTGGTGGTGATCTACCAACGCCGATGTTTTACCTTGGGTCTGTAGGAGAGATATGCATGAATTCCAGGAAGCATCCCTTCCTCTCAGAACTCAGTACTCC